ACTTTTTGCAAGGTGTTTAATCCAATATATAGCCTCCTGAACTAATTTAGACGTTGTAGATTCTTCTTCAATATTTATCTCAGGATTTTTTGCATTATTTGCATTTCGGAGTTCAACCATATGTAAAAGGAATTTAGCGTATTGAATTTGAGTAGAGGGATTATTTGTTTTCTTAGCAGCCTCACGATATTTTTGTATTGCACTTTCATCAGATGCAAGTGTTTTTGAAGTAGCAGTCTGTCTTTTTTCAATTTTTTCATCAATTAACAAACGTAATGGAGATTTTGAAGATCTACGATCAGGAATAGGAGAAGTTGATCCTACACTCCAACTATTTCTAGTAACCCCAGGTAAATTAGCACCATTAGGGCCAATATTATGACCAGGGGATAACATGTTAGGTAGTAAAGATGTATGTTTATAATTATCGTAAGAAGAATGAGGTATAGCTTCAGAATATGGCATATAATGATTTTGTGGAGGTTGTAAACCCCATGCTGGTGTGGCTGAAGACTCTGAATTATGTTGATCGAATTGCTGTGGATTATGTTGAAATGAAGATGTTTCTGCAGAAGAACCAGTATAATTTGCAGATATTTGTAGATTTGGGTTTTTTGCACGAGATTGTTGTGGTATATTGGAAAACTGATATTGAGGATGTATCGGATTTGCACCTGTAATCATGGATTGTTTTGGATTTGTTGTATTATCAGAATTTCGAGGAATTTGCGGATTTTGAGTATTTTGTGGATTTTGTGGATCTTGAGGAATTTGTGGATTTTGCGAAAATTGTGGATCTTGAGAAAATTGTGGATCTGACTGAATATGATATTGATGACCGCTAAATCGTGGAGGATATTGTCCATAATGCGGCTGCATATATTGCTGATGTTGTATATACTGTTGATGTTGATATGGCGGTTGTTGTGCTTGTTTAGGCTGTTGAAACTGAGGTGAATTACCAAAATTTATAGGTTGAGTTAGAAGAGGTGGGCTTTGTGGCGAAGGTGGTCGTCGAGAATATGTATTATGATTTTGACTTGCTTGATCTTGACTACTGCTTGATACATTTTCATTGAATTCTGTCGATATTTCGCTTTCATTAATATCTTTAGAATATTGAGTTTCTATAGCATTAGTAATGTTCTTTGTTACTGTAGGCATAGGTTTGTGCGGTTTAGGAGAAATCAAGGGTGGAAATGGTGGATCAGGTGTAACAGAACGAGATCGCTCTGGTGTTAAAGAGTCAGAATACTCTTCAGACACTCTATCACTATAATTTCTTTGAGAATGACTGGGAGGAAGCGGCCTCGGACCTATAATGGATCCTGTTCTAGACATGCGTGTACCATTATCCCTGTTATTTGATATATTTTGATATTTTTCAGTCATTCTGTAAGTTTTTTTTCTATTATTAAATAAAAGGATAAAATTAAATTGTTTGACTTTAACGACTTAGATTAAAATTCTGCTAACGGTTTTTTATTTCGATATCGGTTGTGAATAAAAAAAAGATTGGACCATTTATATTAATCTGTACATATTCAAAATCTCATGACACAGATTTATTTATATAATTATGCATCTTTGCATCTTGTTCCGGTTTACCGTTACGTTGAAATTAGATCGAAAAAGCAGATCGATCAAACGTGTTAAAACAAATTTCTACACGATAATTCATTGTTTTTCATTTGTCATTCCCGATGTTAACCGACTTAACCTATTTATTATCATAAAAGACTGATTAATGAGTCAAGTTGATTTCATCCTTAGCTATAATGTTTTAAGACTTTAATTGTTAATAACTAATTACCCTAATCATAATTAGGGGTTGCGTACCAACACAGGCACTGGTAAAACATAGGGCATGGGCACTATGTTTTAACAGTGCCCGTTCCGGCACTTGCAGAACCCTAACCCAAACCATAATGATGTTTTTAATTCAATAATTTACATGTAACAAATTTAATGCTGATACAGCATCAAAAAGTATCAAAAATTATAATTTAGGAAATCGATTTTAAAATTTTAATTATGCGTGTAAATACTTATGGCAATGTCTTCACTCTAGGCTAACTTCCAGGTAAAACTCTAGATTAAACAGATCAGACGGCTTGAATTTACGTGTCGGGTGGCATGCTAATATTAACCCCAATACGCACTAGCTAAATTTTAGTGGAACCACCAAGTTACAGATATATATATACACAATCTCTATTCGTAGAACTTTATTAATAATTTAGTGATTGGTACATACTCTTACATAAGATAAATATAATTATTATGGCGAAGTTAATAATACCGATACACTAAAATTTTATATATATAACAACAATAATTATTTACTACGTACGTACGTAAGTTACAACTATTATCATTATTTCTGGGACACCTGAAGAATTTTCAGATGACCGAAATATCCTCTGTTTCATTCGGTAAATTACC